TTTACCTTTATAGCTTACCATGATTAACTGCCAAAACTTTTCGACTATTCATCTTCACAAAATTTCCAAGAGGGAGCTGTGCATGTTCAATTCCATAATCCGATGCTTGTTTATATGTGAGTCCCTAAAATAAAAACACTATGATTTGGACTAGAACATTAAATTATTTTACAGTCTATGACAGTATCGATAATTTTTAGAAAAGACTATAGTTTACAGAAGATTATCTAAAGAGGGTGTGTGTGTGTGTTTAAGTGCTAATTTGGGAACATTCTCTTGACAATAAGCATAGTCAGAATGTTTAGAGCATTTGTTTTAATCTCCTAAATTTACAAATAAAGAAACCAAAGACATTATGTTCCCTGCCCAGTTACAAAGCTCCTCGGTAGCAGAACCACAGGAAAAACCTGGCTCACTCCTCTCCTGACTCAAATATCTTGTCACCATTCCACCCTGCCTTTCTCTCAATGTAAGACACAGTCATGTGCCGCACAGTGACATTTCAGTCAATGACAGACCGCTTCTGTGACAGTAGTCCCATGAGATTACAAGGGAGCTGAACACTTCCTGTGACCTAGTGATGTAGCTGTGCCAGTCATATAAAGGTATGGCGCATGCAGTTATGCACAGTATGTAATACTTGATAATGATAATGGATGATTATGTTACTGGTTTATGTATGCACTGTATTATATTTTTATCATTATTTTAGAGTGTACTCTTCCTGCTCATAAAAAAAAAAAGTTAACTGAAAAGTAGCCTCAGACAGGTCCTTCAGGAGGTGTTCCAGAAGAAGGCACTGCTATCATAGGGGATGACAGCTCCATGCCTGTTGTTGCCCAGAAGACCTGCCCAGGGGATGAAAGGTGGAGGTGAAAGACAGTGATTTTGATGATCCTGACCCTGTGCAAGAGGCTTAGGCTAATGTGTGTGTTTGTGTCTTAGTTTTTAACAAAAACGTTTGAAAGTTAAAAATAAATAAACAAAAAATAAAAATAGAAAAAAGCTATTTTTGTACAGCTATACAATGTGGTTTGTGTTTTAAGCTGAGTGTCATTATAAAAGTCAGTTTGAAAAAATTTAAAGTTTATAAAGTGAAAAAGTTACAGTAAGCTGAGGTTAATCTAGTATTGAAGAAAAATTTTTCAAAATAAATTTACTGTAGCCTAGGTGTCCGGTATTTATAAAGTCCACAGTAGTGTG